TTTTTTCTATGAAAGAATTGAAACAATTCAAAATGATATTTTATACCATGTAAAAATCTGAGATATCTGAATGCTAAAAGCATACACAAAAATGTGAAAAATAAATCATTCTCATCATATATTACTCAAAATGCTTAATATCCTAAAGATTAATGTTTTTGTGAATTGATAATGGAAAAAGACAACCAAGAAAGAGAACAAACTGCTGACATGAGATTAATTTGAAAAATTAAAGCAACATTCAAATGACCAAAAAAAAATATTTAATTATATTCATACTCACTGGTTTGAATGATTAAATAGTAGTTTGCGCCTGTAAGATTTGGTCTATGTGTTCCTTATGACTTGAAAGTATCCTAATTGATAAACTTCTGTAATATGAGGTGTGACTGGGTGCTTATGGGGTAGCAGAAACAGAGTAAGGTGGTAATAAGTCATGTGAAAACTTTCTCCAAAATATATCCTAAATGTCTACTCTTCAGTTGGCCCTCAGTTCCAATACCCATGAAATCCAGAGCATCTTGTTCTTCTTCTCAGAACTATCCAGGAATTTCATATTGTACCTTCAAAGCAAATATAATCTATCATATTGTCTAGACCTATTTCTTTGGTAAGAGTTATTTGTAACTGGAAAATTGTTTAAGGGTAAAGGAATCATTTACTTGTTTTTTGTAAATAGCAATAAACTAGTATGTTTGTGTCTAACATAAGTATTATGTAGGTTATTGTGTATTGCTCATAACTACATGCTGAACACCTAGAAAACTGCCTGACACAGTAGGGGCTCCATAAAGATTTATACAATGAATGGCTAAGTTATTGAGATGATAATGGGTGGAGGAGGGGGAGTATATCATTCCAATGGGCCATGACTCCAAAGGGGAATCAAGTATAGGTTTTGATTTAACTTTAAAAATCAGGGATCTAAATGGATCTTATCTATTTTATCCATAATTATTGTTCTTCAAAAGTAAGTACTATGTTAAGGTCAGTATCAAGTCAATATAGTCTATGTGAGTCACACAGTAATACTATTACTAGGTAATAGAAGGCATACTGATCATTCAAAGGAATAGCTTATCTATGAATTATAATCTAATGAGGAAAAATATATATACTTGAGATTGACTGTCCCAGAAGCTGTCTCTTCTCCAATTTGTAGAGAATAAAACTTCTATTTAGAAAATGAGACATTTTCAAGATATGTATACACTCTGTTCACAGCATGATAATTCACAATAACCTAAAGGTGAAAGAAAACAATGTGTCTACTGACCAATGAATGTATAGGCAATTGTGGTACATATGCAATGTGGAATAGTATTTTACCTTACAAAGAAGGGCATTTTGACATGTGATAGAGCATGGATAAACCAGTCACAAAAAGACACATGCTGTATGATTCCTTTTATGTAAGGTACTAGAGTAGTCAGCTTCCTAGAAATAGAAAGATTGGTGACTGCCAAGGGCTGGAGGGAGAGAGAATGGAGAGTTATTCTTTATGGTACAGAGTTTTAGTTTTGCAAAATGAAAAGCATTTTGGAGATTGATTGCATAATGACTATGTTTAATGCTTCTGAAGTGTGACTTAAAAAGGATTAAGAAGGTACATTTTATGGTATATATATTTTACCAAAACTAAATTTTTAAAAAAATGAGATATACTTTAATTAAATAAAAGTCTCCCAAAAGTAGAAGATTATTGAGAGTCAAAGATTATTTTTTTTAGAAGATCTTTGAATGATTCTCAAAGTATGAACCAGTCCAAGATTTTTTATATCTTCAACTGCAATGAGAAATTGCCATCAGGAACCAGTTAGAAAGCCTGAAACTTTAAAATTCAGAAGCTAATTAATTTCGTAAATGCACAAAGCTTGGAAAAACTAAGCCTAGGACGAACACCAGGAATCCTGAAGCTTCTCATAGTTCGGTGCCAATTTTATCCCTTTCCTGTGTCAAAGACTACCCTGAAGACATCAGGTCTTCCATAGAATCTGAGCTGTTCTTCAAATCAGTAAGAAATTTATAAAGTATCAAACTTACAAAATATATTAAGTGGCTTCTTTTGATTTTTAGATACATGTCACCTCATAGGACTGTTTTTTTTGCTATCATTTCTGGTCTGGTATTTTTGTTGCATGACAGGCACTGTCAGACTCAAGAGTGGTGAGTCATGTTGAATAGTTTTGTATTTTCTACTTAATTAAACAAGTTGTGAATGGAATCAGTTTTAAAGTCTCAAAAATGCAATATTGGGAATTAATCACATAGATGTTAGTGGAGTCCAGATTCAAAGATACTTTCAGAACACAGGAGAAATGTTTATGCCTAAATGAAACGGCAATTCAACCCTAATTCTTTATTTAAAAAGAAAAAATGGCATAAATTTACCATCGTGTCTTTCTCAAAATATTTTAAAGTGTTTTTTCTTTTGTTTGTTTGTTTGTTTCTTTCTTTTTTTTTTTAATTTGCAAAATCACATGAAATGTGGGCTTGATTATTTGGGATGTCAATGTAGTCCAGTATATTTAGCCAATATGGCCATCTTGGGGAAAGGAAAAGCCCATCTCAGGGCTTACATTCTATCAGATTGTCCTCAGGGATATCTGCTTATTTAGGGAGTGATCCCTCAGTGTCTCTGGGAAATTGGGTCTAGAAACCCCCACTCCCACCCCAGCCCCAACCCCTAGATACCAAAATCTATGGGCCTCTTTTATGAAATGGGATAGCATTTGCGTAGAACCTGTGCACAGCCTCCTGTATACTTCAGATCATCTCTAGAGTACTTATAATACCTAACAGAATGTTCACATAGTTGCTATACTGTGTCATTTAGGGAATAATGACAAGGGAAGCCTCTGCATATGTGGCCTATACACTCCAAAAGTTTTTTTGTTTTTTTTTTTAATATTTTCAATCTGTGGTCAGTTGACCCATGGAGACAGAACCCAGGGATCAGGAAGGCTGCATATATTAACCCAGGGCTTTACTTTAAGAAAAAACTATTTGTCCTCTCTTTTCATGAAGACTTCTGCTTTCCTTTGAGCAAAATACTGAGGTTACACTAAAAATAATCCTGCCCACCAGTTTTAGATTAAGACCATCAAAGGCAACATTGTGGAGAATTACTGTAAATGTGTGTATAATGATTGCTCCAAGTGTACCAGCAAATTACCATAGACAGAATTTGAAATATTAGAGTTAAATGAAAAAAATAAGTTGTTTTCGAATGCAAAAGCAACAGTGTCTACTTTCAAAAAAAAAAAAAAAAAGGACACAGCAAATTAAGGAAATCATCTGGGCAATTATGAGTAAATGTTCATGTAATCAGGGCTCCAGTGATCAGATTATTCTCTTTCCCTTCCTCGGTTCCCAAAGCATGTATGGATCCAGTCAGAAGAGTTTTTGAAGTTCATGTGTTTCCTGAGTTGCGGCATTTCACAAGTGAGAATACACAATGAGAATGCTTCCGGCCCCGGTGGCAAAGAATGTTGAACAGGGCTTAATCACATCCATAAAAGTCTCCCT